GGTGTTATATGTAGTGATGATAGATGGTGTTATATGTGGTGATGATGGATAGTGTTATATGTAGTGATGATGGATGGTGTTATATGTAGTGATGATAGATGGTGTTATATGTGGTGATGATGGATGGTGTTATATGTAGTGATGATGGATGGTGTTATATGTGGTGATGATTGATGGTGTTATATGTAGTGATGATGGATGATGTTATATATAGTGATGATAGATGATGTTAAATGTAGTGATGATAGATGGTGTTATATGTGGTGATGATGGATGGTGTTATATGTAGTGATGATGGATGGTGTTATATGTAGTGTTGATGGATGATGTTATATGTAGTGATGATAGATGATGTTAAATGTAGTGATGATATATGGTGTTATATGTGGTGATGATGGATGGTGTTATATGTAGTGATGATAGATGGTGTTATATGTAGTGATGATAGATGGTGTTATATGTGGTGATGATGGATAGTGTTATATGTAGTGATGATGGATGGTGTTATATGTAGTGATGATAGATGGTGTTATATGTGGTGATGATGGATGGTGTTATATGTAGTGATGATGGATGGTGTGTATATGTGGTGATGATGGATGGTGCTGGAGGTGATGATGGATGGTGTTATATGTAGTGATGATGGGTGGTGTTATATGTAGTGATGATGGATGGTGTTATATGGTGATGCTGGATGATGTTATATGTAGTGATGATGGATGGTGTTATATGTAGTGATGATGGGTGGTGTTATATGTACAGTAGTGATGATGGATGGTGTTATATGTAGTGATGATGGATGGTGTTATATGAAGTGATGATGGATGGTGTTATATGTAGTGATGATGAATAGTGTTATATGTAGTGATGATGGATGGTGTTATATGTAGTGATGATGGATGGTGCTATATGGAGTGATGATGGATGGTGTTATATGTAGTGATGATGGGTGGTGTTATATGTAGTGATGATGGATGGTGTTATATGTAGTGATGCTGGATGATGTTATATGTAGTGATGATGGATGTTGTTATATGTAGTGATGACGGATGGTGTTATATGTAGTGATGATGGATGTTGTTATATGTAGTGATGATGGGTGGTGTTATATGTAGTGATGATGGATGGTGTTATATGTAGTGATGATGGATGGTGTTATATGGAGTGATGATGGATGGTGTTATATGTAGTGATGATGGGTGGTGTTATATGTAGTGATGATTAAACAATAAAATAATAACAGTTTAATGCTAAAAAAATATACTTTACTGTACCGTTGTAGTGAAAAACATGGTGGATCTTACATACACCGTTAATGAACTATTGATGGAAGAAGAAGTTTTGGGGACTGAACAGTGAGACAATGTGGAGCCTCCTGGAGGGTGGCGTCCTACCGTGGCCTAGTGAATGAGCTGCCCGGAGTGCGGCGTTTCTGCTAGTATTCTAATAAAAGCCTGGGTGGTGTAAGTATAGTTATTCCTTTAATAGGTGTTGTGTAAGAATGACATGGTTTTCCCAGGTTAATCCATTGACTAGAATATAACTAAGCCATGATAAGAAATTGAGAGAACGAAGTAAGAGGAAAATATGTGAAATAAATACTGACACTGAAAGAAAAGTCATAAGTAAAATATAGAAAAGGAAATAATACTGTATAGCTAAAAAAATTAAGGAAGGTTTTGTATAAGACAGAAATAACGTAGAAAAATACTATGGAAAATATAGAGAAACAAAAATAATATAATAAGATAATACATGAGCGAAAATAAATAAAGAACAATAAAAAATTATGTCACCCCCCCCCCCTCCATTACAGTGTGAGGTGATTAATGGCACGAAATCATCATGTATACCCGTCACAAGTGGGGTACCACAGGGCAGTGTATTGGGCCCGCTGTTGTTTGTTTGTTTCATAAATAACATGCCTGATGCTGTACATTCCTCCATGCAAATGTTTGCAGATGACACCAAGTTATTTTGGAAAATTAAGAACCAAGCAGACAGTGAAGAGCTGCAAAAGGATCTTTGTGAGCTCCAAGAATGGTCGAAGAAATGGTTGCTAAGATTCAATGTCACGAAGTGTAAAAAGATGCACCTGGGACGTACTAACGGTAAGGAGGCATATCTTATGTCCCAACGGGACGAAGAAACTGCATTAATTGAGACTGAAACGGAAAAGAACCTGCGTGTGTATGTTGAAAATGAGCCGAAATTCTCGGGCCATTGCGAGAAGATAAATCAGGTAAATAAATTATTAGGTCTTATAATATGGTCGTTCAGATATCTAGACGGTCGGTCCCTCGTAACGATCTTCAAGAGTGAAGTGCTTCCCCGTCTGGAGTACTGTCATCCCGTCTGGTCCCCGAGATATGCTAGGGACTGTCAGTTAATTGAAAATGTCCAAAGGAGGGCTTCCAGACTGGTGCCTGCACTACGGCACCTCAGCTACCCTGAGAGATTGGAGCGCCTGAACTTGCCCAGCTTATACTACAGACGGGCAAGGGGGGACTTTATTGAGTTGTATAAGCATCTCAAAGGGCACTACTCAGTCGAGTGTCCTTACCTGGAGCTAGCGGACGCTTGCCCCACAAGGGGCCACAGATCAAGTTTGAAGAAGCCCCAAGCCCCAAAAACTGTGAGGGGTAACTTTTTTTGAGTGAGAGTTGTGAACTCTTGGAACAATCTGCCAGAGAGTGTTGTGACTGCACCGAATGTGAACTCTTTCAAGACCAGACTTGACAAGCACTGGAGCAGGTTCAGGTACATTCAGGAGCCAGTGCATACCCAGTACTTGCCAACAGTGCTTAACAGAGATGTGACTGATAAAAGTAAACGTAAGGTCTATACTCATAGACCTTGTTTTAGGTGACTGTCCAACAGTAACGCCTGGAAATCTTTTATTGTGTCTGTCCGTGGTTGTTCAAGGGCGAGCAATAAAATTAATGAGAATGTATGCTCAGAAATTTTCCTCATCAGAAGCATAATTAAAGGGAGTAGAAAAGATTGGGAATGAGCTATGGGGTGCAGAGGCCGCCCATACTTCACTCTGGTAAAGGACCTGTGGAGTATTTCCGTGTTTCGCGACTAAACACTTTCAACCTCCTCATTTGAGATTATGGGATGGGAACTTTATACCCTCACCAGGCAATTGAAAGTGGTTCATTTGAGCCCTCACACCACAAGGTAACACAAACTCGGGCACTAGATGTAGTTGTACCTTGCGAGGTTGGGGGGGATCTTAACGGTACTATTTAAATGCATGACATTGGTAAAACGAATCGTGTCCACTAACGCATATCTCTCACCATTATTAGTTTATATTTTGTATGAAAAAAATCCAAATTAAATTTGTGTTTTAATTACCCTTAAATAGATTTATCAGAGAAAAATTAAAAGTACTCATGCGCAAACGCTTGTACTGTACATCTGTACTGTACAGTACTGGCGGTGCGAGTACTCAGTCAGGTGTTACTGTCGTTGAACCAAGTCGCTGCCACTCCTCTTATCGAGCTGGTACTGAATGGCTCTTGTCGTGTGACCACACTCCTAGTTATAAGAGCTAATCATCAATTAAAGGAGCCTACATGACCAAGCGAGGAAAAATAGTGAGTGATATTTATTTCACAAAATTGGTCAGTTGGGAGCTCAAGTTTTGTGTACCCTTAACTGTTACCAAGGGTACTGAGTCCACACCCGCGCGCCCCCGTTCACTACTAACATAGTTCACCGGTATTGATCCACAACTGCTTGTTCTAATTTCGTGTAACTATAAATACATTAATAATATAATTTAAAAACTGATAATTATTATTTTTGTTTTTAATCACAGGCTTCACGAATAATTGGCGCTGGAAGTCTTTAAAACTGATGACAGTAACTAAAGCAAATGTTAGTTCATAAATCATATTTAATACTGTCTCCCTAAACATCAACAACTAGAAGTTAGGGCTTTATAAGAGAGACCGAACACGTGTATAAAACAGTCAACAGACCACCTACTGTATATTTAAATAATAGAAATAATAATAAACGGTTTATTAATAGAGAAAAAAATAATTAATAATAATAAACGGTTTATTAATAGAGTTGCAGCCGGTGGCTGAAAATATACATACTTACAGTGAGAAACAATATATGTATGTTGTATTGACAAAGTAAAAGAAACAATTGAGACCCAGCAATTGTGTGTAAATGAGGCAGAAGGTCAGATCAGCAACCTGGGACTTGGTCACAATTTATGTGATGCCATATGACAGAAGGGTCTACCATTAAACAATAAATTATGCTTCCAATATCTTCCCAAGCGGTAATACCCCCCTGTTTGATAGCTGCCTACTGCCTGTGTGGTGTGGTCTTCCTTAGCACACTACAGTAAGAGTGACAGCTCGGATAAACTACAGTATATGACACAAGTTCCTGCAGCGTCTATATTTATATCTCTTCCTCTTGTCCGCATCTAAACTGTTCATGTTAACAGACAATACGAGTCCACTACTTTGACGAGAAACCGGCGGATTTCCTGCTCGAGGCGACATTTTAGCAATGGATCAATGATAATAACCCAGTGTTTTGCCCGCCAGTCGGGAGAGGGAGGTGAGGTCGCTCATTTCTTATCACTGCTGTCACGAGAGATATCACTGAACATGTCTCTTGCTTTTAACATCACGTGGTGTCACATTATTAACTATATATATGGGATAAACCCCAAGTCCACGCACTCCTGCACACTTAATAAGCTAGTGAGCCCCTTGGAAATATTACCTTGGGGTCTCCAACTTCTTATGCCATTAACTGCCCAGTCTACCACAAACTTAACACTCCTTACTCCATAAACCTCCACAGGGCGTCATGATGATCACTGAGGTCACTCCAACCCAACCTGGGTTGTCACTGTCTGGGAACAGGACTGCCAGCCCACGTCGCCAGACAATGTCCAACATCCTGACCAAGTGAGCGGCGCCATCATCGGGGTGTTGGAACACGCCTTCTACACTTACGGCAAGACCATTGCCAGAACACCTTTCCAATTCATCCTCGTCTGCCTCGTCATCACCGCCTTCTGCTGTATGGGCATCACCAAGTTCACCCAGGAGACGCGGACCCACAAGTTGTGGACGCCACAAAACTCAGAGTTTCTCGAAGTCAAGAATTGGCTGGAAGAAAACGTTGTCTCTAACTTGAGAATTAACAGAGTTATTTACGAAGCTGAAAATGTCCTGGATAAAAGCATTCTTCTAGAGATGTTACGAGTTCATGAGACGGTTGTAGACACTAAGACCAGATCAGCGATCTGGGGCAGTGTGTGCGCTAAAGTGCCCAAGTTACCGCGAGAGTTATTATACAGGCGAAAGCGAGACAATGTGGATGGGGTCGAGGAAGATTCAGAGATCACTGTTACCCAGAAAACTTGTGTGAAGAGCGACATGAGACGCGTAAGGCAAGTTAACGATAATGAGGATGATGGTGATGATTTAGACTGGAGTTTATTGTTACCCCGGGACCACTACTGTGAGCTCCTGGAGTCACTGCAACAAGTGTGTTTAGAAAACAACATCCTAGAAATATTTGGGTATGACCATGACTTCATTAGCTCTCTCACTCAACAGCAGATCATCAGGGACATTAACACAGTAGACACAAGCGTTGTGGCCGGCTTCCCAGTAAATGTTACTGGATTCTTAGGCAACATAGAAAGAGATGCAGACGGACTGATTGTTAAGGCTGGAGCCGCAAGACATACTTGGTTCACGAAGATCAACCACACAGCCGTTGACAAAGGAGATATAAAGGGTGAAGGAGCAGAAGTGGATTCTGCAACCTATGATTGGGAGCAGAAATTTGTTAAAAATATGGCTAATACTATCAAAGGGAAGAAGAACGTTTCAGTGTACTTTATGGCCTCATCAAGTTATAGTAAGATCAGTGACGATATCATCTGGGTTGATACGCAGTACATTATTACAGGATTTGTTGTTATGTTTATATACGTCGTTACAATGATTGGCAAGTTCAACATGGTGGAACAGAGACCTGTTCTCTCTCTTCTTGGTCTTTCTTGTGTGGGGATGGCTGTGGGTGTGTCATGTGGAGTTTGTTCTGCTGTGAACATTCCTTACGGACTTGGCATCGACGACATGTTTGTCATCATGCAGGCATGGAACAATTTGTCCCCACAAGAACAGAAGCTAGAGCTGGATGAACGTGTTGGCTGTGCCCTTAAACATGCCGGTGCCTCCATCACCGTCACCTCCGTCACCGACTTTGTTGCATTCGCTGTTGGCAGTACAACTGTGTTACCAGCGCTCAGGTCCTTCTGTCTCTACGCTGCTGTTGGTATTGCATCTGTTTTCTTCTTCCAGGCCACGTTATTTGTGGCTTGTCTGTCAGTCGACCAGCGACGGCTCGAGGACAGACGTCACGGACTCTTCTGGTGCTGGAAGCTTAACAACTGGACACCCAACCAGTGCAGTCAGATGGACCTGTGCCAGATATTCTTCAATGACGTGTACGCCAAGTTTCTCTTTCTGGCGCCAGTAAAGGTCCTCGTTCTTGTTGTCACATTAGTTCTCACTTGTGTATCTGGCTGGGGACTCTATAACATTAGGCTTCAGTGTGACTTTATCTGGTTCCTGCCACAAGATTCATACGTCTATCATTTTTATTTGAAAGAAAGATATTATTATCAATCTTATGGAAGACAGGGATCAGTATTTTTTAGAAATATGAGTTTATTCTCAGAACTGACAAATATTGAAGAATTAACTGCACAATTGAAGAATAGTAAAATTATATTAGACGTTGACAGCTGGTACGATAAATACAAACTCTATTGGAGGAAACAAGGATATGAAGTGCCTGACCCACAACAAACGGAGGGAGAGTTTCTGGACCAACTGAGTCAATTCCTGTATTCTCCTAGTGGGTCACCTTACCGGGTCAGGAACTTCCGTTTCTCATCTGAGCTCAACTGCACTCAAAAGGCCCCTACTGTGACTTTTTCTAGTATTGATTATAGGCACACTTCCCTGTTAACATCCTCGGAAGAAATACAAGCCATGAAGAGTGTCAGAAAGACTGTAAGAGACATGAACTTTACTAGTTACGTTAGAGCTTGGTCATTAGCGTATGGAGAATGGGAAACAAACCAGGTAATCACGGAAGAATTGTACCGGAACACGAGTCTAGCCCTGGCGGTGGTGTTCTTGGTGACACTCCTTTTCATCGCCAGTTTTGTCACAAGCTTCATGGTGGTTGTGTGTGTAGTGTTGACACTGGTGGACGTGGGGGCTCTCATGCACTGGTGGGGACTCAGTATCGACACAGTCTCCTGCTTTGGTCTGATTTTGGTCACCGGGTTGTGTGTTGACTACGCTGCTCATGTTGGTCACACCTTCATGACCAAGACTGGCACCAGAGACGATCGAGCTAGAAAGACTGTGTCCACCATCGGTCCAGCTGTCCTCAACGGCGGCTTCAGCACCTTCCTCTCCTTCATCTTCTTGGCTAACACACGCTCACACGTCTTCCAAACCTTCTTTAAGGTAAGAGTTTTTATTTTACTGCGTGGACAAACACAACCAAATAGCCATTAGACATTTTACTCAGAGTAGGATCTTGTAACTAAATCAAGGGAGCGCTATTCTTTCCTTTATAGTGATATATTGGTCCTCAAACACATACTGTAGTGATATACTGGTCCTCAAACACATACTGTAGTGATATACTGGTCCTCAAACACATACTGTAGTGATATACTGGTCCTCAAACACATACTGTAGTGATATACTGGTCCTCAAACACATACTGTAGTGATATACTGGTCCTCAAACACATACTGTAGTGATATACTGGTCCTCAAACACATACTGTAGTGATATACTGGTCCTCAAACACATACTGTAGTGATATACTGGTCCTCAAACACATACTGTAGTGATATACTGGTCCTCAAACACATACTGTAGTGATATACTGGTCCTCAAACACATACTGTAGTGATATACTGGTCCTCAAACACATACTGTAGTGATATACTGGTCCTCAAACACATACTGTAGTGATATACTGGTCCTCAAACACATACTGTAGTGATATACTGGTCCTCAAACACAAACTGTAGTGATATACTGGTCCTCAAACACATACTGTAGTGATATACTGGTCCTCAAACACATACTGTAGTGATATACTGGTCCTCAAACACATACTGTAGTGATATACTGGTCCTCAAACACATACTGTAGTGATATACTGGTCCTCAAACAATCTATACATATAAATGCATTTTAGGTGATTGTCTTTTTTCTTGAGTTCTTTATGCATTTTGGTAGGGAGGTGCGGGTGGCCTCGGGGATGGTCGTGCACTGTCCCTCCGCCCAAGCCAAGCAGGGTAACTCAACAGACCGGCAGCTGTACTGTGGATGACGAGATTTTTTCTTCGAGTAAGATATGAAAATAAACCCGAGAGAAATAAGTTGTGTCATAACAGCAAGGCGTCCAGTTGGAGACCGATACCGTGTTCTGGGAGCGTGCGGGTGGACAGCTGTTACTAATTAACAAGGCGACAATACTAATAGTGGAG